ATATACATGTACAAGCAAATATGTATATACACACCCCTCTAGGTTTTCTTCCATTTTTCTTACTAGTTATTGTTCTTGTTTATTTCCTCTTACCTCCATGGGGAAGTGGAACAGAATTCTTCCTCCGTAAGCCATGCGTGTTGTAAGAGGCGACTAAAATGCCGGGAGCAAGGGGCTAGTAACCTCTTCTCCTGTATATATTACTAAATGTATAAGGAGAAACTTTCATTTTTCCTTTTGGACCACCCCGCCTCGGTGGGATACGGCCGGTGTGTTGAAAGAAAGAAAAGAACTATAGTTTTACACACAGAAAAGAGATTATGAAATTCGAGAGTCCACCGTATATAAAATATCCATCCATCCATCCATCCTCTTAGGTGTCGTGTTTTGCTCTGCCCTCTCTAAATGCTCAAACCACGTCAAGAACCCCTCTTCAGTCGTCTGAATTTGTTATGTAACCACACACCATTTTCTAATGTCTATACGTACTCTGAATTCTCTATGTAACATTCATACTGCCTCCAGCCTTTAATGTTTAAAGTAAATGACTCACACCTATACAAATTTATTGGTACTACTATTCATTGGTACTGTGGTACATTTACTAATTTATTTCCATAGATGAATTTTTTTTTTTAACAGATGCCTCAATACACTACCAACCTTTTACCCTTGTCTTTCATAGACCTGTGCGCTGATATGCGCACCCCCAAATATTTAACCCTTTGGGGGTTTCGGACGTACTAGTACGGCTTATGACCCAGGGTTTTTGACGTACCTGGAGTTTACCTGGAGAGAGTTCCGGGGGTCAACGCCCCCGCGGCCCGGTCTGTGACCAGGCCGCCTGGTGGATCAGAGCCTGATCAACCAGGCTGTTGCTGCTGGCTGCACGCAAACCAACGTACGAGCCACAGCCCGGCTGATCAGGAACTGACTTTAGGTGCTTGTCCAGTGCCAGCTTGAAGACTGCCAGGGGTCTGTTGGTAATCCCCCTTATGTGTGCTGGGAGGCAGTTGAACAGTCTCGGGCCCCTGACACTTATTGTATGGTCTCTTAACGTGCTAGTGACACTAGTACGCATAAATTCTAGCGCCCTCAAATCTAGTGAGAGAAAGCTGGTAGGCCTACATATGAAAGAATGGGTCTATGTGGTCAGTGTGCACAGTATAAAAAAAATCCTGCAGCACACAGTGCGTAATGAGAAAAAAAAACTTTGACAGTGTTTTTGGAATAAAACAGCGACTTTGCACTGTATTTTCGTATGGTATTTATTGTTGTATTCTAATTTTCTTGGTCTCATTTTATAGAATGGAATACATATTACAGAAATTGAGATCATTTTGACTGGTTTTACAATGAAAAGTACCTTGAAATTGAGCTCAAAGTAGCAGAAATGTTCGATTTTTACCAAAGTTCAAAAGTAAACAAATCATGCCAAGCGTCCAATACACATCAACTGGTGAGTCTGATATTCTTTCACAAGTGCGCTGATATTATTTATACCATTTCTACATTAATGCAGTAGTCTGCATAACAGTAAATCTTCTATTTTTTGTAAGAATAAAAATTCAAATATAAGAGGGTCCTGGGAATGTGACTGACGAACAGAGAACTTGTTATTTTAGTGCCAGGAATGTCTTTCTTGTTTATTCTGGACCCTATTTGGAAATTGGTATCTTTTGAAATTTGTATGAAATTGGCAAAATTGCTAAATTCTGACCACTGGATTGGATAGTTGAAATCGGTAAATTGGTGGTTTCTTGTACTCATTCGATAGAAAAAATGGAGTTCTAGCAAAATAGTTATGTTTTTTGTCGACTAGTACATTGGAATTGGCCGAAAATAGGGCTCAAAGTGGGCAAAATCGCCAATGCATAAACATCGTCGAGACCGCTAACTTCGCGAGAGCATAATTTCATAAGTTTTCCATCAAATTTAATACTTTTGGTGTCATTATGATCAGGAAAAGATTCTCTATCTTTTCATAAGAATTTTTTTTTTTTTTTTTTTTTTTTTTTTTAAATTTGGGGGACCCTGAGAACAAGTCTCTGAGAGGGCCTGTGGACCCTGAAAGGGTTAATGCTTGAAATTATTACTCTTTTCTTCAACATTAAACATTCTCTCCATCTTCCCAGTACCTCCACCACTTAAAATGTCCCCTCTTCTTTTTAACTGCCAAATATATTTGCTCTCTAGACTTTTTCAACTTCTTAATCTCCATCCTAAACTGATTCTTATTTTCAGTAACATCTGCTGATGGAGCATCACCCATTCTTTCATTGGATGTAATACTGCACTCCCTCATCAGTCTCTGATCTTCTCTTCTTCCTCCATATACTCTACCTTCCATATATCATTTCTGCATTGTAAAATCCTCTCATATGCTAACTTTTTCCCCCATGCCACTCCTCTTTACCTTATCATTCCACCAATCATTCCTTTTCCCACAAACTTCACTATAGCACTGCATTCTTTAATGTATCATTTCAACATTCTTATAGCCTGTATTCTCTCTAGTCTACCTCTCCAAATAGTTGCATATACAGATGTATCTTCCTCCCTTTAGTTCTTTCACTTTCATTTCTTTCTTACCCATTAATACCATTCTTCATGTACTTCATTCACCTTTTACTGTCATTGAAGCTGCTTCTAAATAGTGATCTCACATATCTGTCACCCCTCTACAAAAATTCACATCTGGAAATCTTCTCATGACATATCTCATATACTTGTGTATTCACAAATAATCTTCACCAAAGAGACTGACACTTGTGACATTTCTCTGACTTGGACCATTAACTAGTCCAAGTTGGACCGAAACATCATCATAAGTTTCAGTTTCCTATGTGCAGGTTATTTGTGTATTGTTCCAATCACAGTATTGTCCCTTTTTATTATTTATACTTTTTTTTTTTCAATAAACCGGCCGTATCCCACCAAGGCAGGGTGGCCCAAAAAGAAAAACGAAGTTTCTCTTTTTAACTCCTTGACTGTCGCAACCCCAAATCCTGAGGCGTCTCCTGGTGTCGCAAAATTTAAAAAAAAAAAAAAAATTTTTTTTCTTATGACATTATAGAGAATCTTTTCCCGATTGTAATGGCACCAAAAAAACGAAATTTGATAATAAACTGATGGAATTACTCTTGTGAAGTTAGCGACCTTGGCGATATTTGCGAATCAGCGATTCGCAAATCAGCCCACTTTGAGCCCTATTTTCGGCTAATTCCATTGTTCCAGTTGACCAGACTCATAGCTATTTCTTTAGAACTTCATTTTTTCTATCGATTGAGTACAAGAAACTGCCCATTTACCGATTTCAACTACCCAATAACATGGTCAGAAATTTGTAATTTGGCCAATTTCATGAAAATTAAAAAATAGACAGTTTCAAAATAGGGTCCAGAATGAACACTGCAGACATTCCTGGCTCTAAAATAGCATTTTCTTTGTTCATCAGCCACGTCTCCAGGCCCCTCTGGTATTACTCTTGCTTTCTGTCTTGAATTTTTATTCAAACAAAAAATAGAAGATTTACTGTTATGCACACTACTGCAATATTGTAATAATTGTATAAATAATGTCAACCCATTCATGACTGCGTATTAGAATGGCTACTTGGACATTTATTGGAAAATGACATCATTTGTTTACTTTTGAAAATCGGCAAAAATCAAACATTTCCCCTACTTTGAGCTCCATTTCAAGGTTCTTTTCATAGTAAAACCAATCAAAATTACCTCTATTTCTGTAATATGTTTTCCATTCTATCAAATGAGACCAAGAAAATGAGAATACAACCATAAATACTGTACGAAAATAGACCACAAAATCAGAGTTTTAATTAAAAAAAAACGGTCGGAGTTTTTTTTTTTCTCATTATGCACTGCGTGCTGCAGGATTTTTTTGTATGGTGCACACTGACCACACAGACCCATTCTCTAACATGTGGGCCTACCAGCTTTCTCCTGCTTGATTTGAAGCCACTAGAATTTGAGTATTTTTTTTTTTTTCAACAAGTTGGCCGTCTCCCACCGAGGCAGGGTGACCCAAAAAAGAAAGAAAATCCCCCAAAAGAAAATACTCTCAGCATCATTCAACACTTTCACCTCACTCACACATAATCACTGTTTTTGCAGAGGTGCCCAGAATACAACAGTTTAGAAGTATATACGTATAAAAATACACAATATTTGTCAAAAGCAGTGGCTCATAAGACGTATATATATGACCAAAACAGCCAAAGGGTTAAATTGAGTAATTTATACAAGAGAAAGGGTTACTAGCCCCTTGCGCCCGGCATTTTAGTCGCCTCTTACAACACGCATGGCTTACGGAGGAAGAATTCTGTTCCATTTCCCCATTGAGATAAGAGGAAATAAACAAGAACAATAACTATAAAGAAAATAGCAGAAAACCCAGAGGGGTGTGTATATATATGCTTGTACATGTATGTGTAGTGTGACCTAAGTGTAAGTAGAAGTAGCAAGACGTACCTGAAATCTTGCATGTTTATGAGAGAAAAAAGGACATCAGCAAGCCTACCATCATGTAAAACAATTACAGGCTTTCGTTTTACACTCACTTGGCAGGATGGTAGTACCTCCCTGGGCGGATTATTTATACTTGTCTCTTCTTTTTTCTTTAAAGTATGTGTTGTCTATTTCCATATCTTTCCTATAAATAATTCAGTTAGAGGCCCCCTTTTTATTTTTTACCCCTGGCACTCCAACTGTTCCTACTGTGCCATCTGCAGCAGTCTCTTACTTTACCCTTGTGTCTTACACTTCAGTTATCCTCTCATTTGGTTCAACATTCTCTTAACACTCCCAAAAATTTCTCACTCCTCCACATTCCCTTAATAACTTGTATGCCCATTATTCACAAATCAATTAATTAGAGCAGTAGTTAAAGTTTAAGGCATGACTTTTAAAACTTCAATGGCATTTATTATGTAGAGGTTACGTACATAATATATTCTTATACAAAAAATATTGATGGAAAACTTCCAGGTTTCAAGAGTGAGTGGGCAACAGTCAAAGATGAGACTCTGATTATTGGTGGTCTTGGTAAAGAGTGGACCACGAGCACAGGGGAGCTGGTCAACCATAACCCACAGTGGGTCAAGACTGTTACTACACATGGCCACATTGAACACCACGACTGGACCAAGAATTATGAAAAATTGCGGGAATCGGTAGGGATAGCTTTTCCAGGTATGCTCATGACTTCATAGGAAAACTGTAAAAGACTTGTAAGCAGTGATGAAAGGGAAAGAAATTTAGAATGCTTTTATTATCTATTTGTCACATGTTCCCTGAGAATGTGATTGATATATTTTTTTTTTCCTCAACAAGTCGGCCGTCTCCCACCGAGGCAGGGTGACCCAAAAAGAAAGAAAATCCCCAAAAAGAAAATACTTTCATCATCATTCAACACTTTCACCTCACTCACACATAATCACTGTTTTTGCAGAGGTGCTCAGAACACAACAGTTTAGAAGCATATACGTATAAAGATACACAACATATCCCTCCAAACTGCTAATATCCCGAACCCCTCCTTTAGAGATCAGGCATTGTACTTCCCATTTCCAGGACTCAAGTCCGGCTATATAAAAATAACCGGTTTCCCTGAATCCCTTCAGTAAATATTACCCTGCTCACACTCCAACAGATCGTCAGGTCCCAAATACCATTCGTCTCCATTCACTCCTATCGAACACACTCATGCACGCCTGCTGGAAGTCCAAGCCCCTCGCCCACTAAACCTCCCTTACCCCTTCCTTCCAACCTTTTCGAGGATGACCCCTACCCCGCCTTCCTTCTCCTACAGATTTAAATGCTCTCCATGTCATTCTACTTTGAAATAAATACTAATAAATAAATAAATACTAATATGTATTGGAATTTTTACTAATCTATGAATAAGAAAGGTAATGAGGAGAGAAAAAGTTGAAAAATGTTTTATTTTAATTTTTATCTAATTATGACATTACTTGTATTCATTGTACCGTATTGTTGTATAGGAGAATCTTCTGTGTACTTTGCTGTACTTTTCTCTGTACTTATTCCTTCTTCAGGTAACCCATTTTTGTTGAGAAAATCCTAAAAGGCCTTCAGAAAATAATTATTTTATGCAAATATTATTTTTATACAGTACATTCCATTTAGCTATGAATTAATCATAATGTTGCAGTTTTATAACTGTAGTATAAGTGCACCTCTGGCAAAACAGTGATAGAGTGAATGATGAAAGTTTTTCTTTTTCGGGCCACCCTGCCTTGGTGGGAGATGGCCAATGTGCTAATAAAAAAAAAATATGCTAATAAACCACAGAATGGGTAGGGTTTGAACCCATGGCAAGTGAGTTGTAAAACTCCATTATGATTACTTGAGTCAGAGTTAGTAATGTATTCATTGGAATGTTTTTACTGGTTCCTGTTGATAATGTACTTTGATTTCTTTCTACCAGACACCAACCATTTGTTAATAAATTCCACATCTTTATGAACAAGATTATTTCAGTCACCAAGCTTTTGTGTCCTTTCTAATATTTTTTCCTTTTAATGGTGAGTTTTATAAACAAAACAGGGTTGTAGCATGGGGAACTCTCTCTCCCTCAATCCTTTCTAAATTATATAAGGAATGTTTTTGACTCCTGTATCCTCCTCTTCATCAAACCAACTTATTTCATTCCAGAATGCTGTTCGAGTGCCAATACCGAACGAATTTGTTCCCATAAGGATTAACATCAATTAGATTAGTCCGTTTCAGACTGTTTCAGACCACTGTAATGCTTTCACTTATGGAAATAATGACTTGAGAAGGTTTGATACTTTTTTCAGTATTGTAATCTTATCCATGAGTACCAGCTATTCATTTCAAAATTAATTGGGATATCAGTCACAATTACCCTTCCTAGATATTTCCATCACTAAAAACAATAATCAGTCATAATTCACTGTTTACAGAAAATGAATACATTCTGCCAATTATATTAATTTCTTTAGTTATCTTGTCACTCGGTTTAAGAAATGTGCTGTATCTTGTCTATTTTTAACCCTTAAATGGTCCAAACGTATATATACGTTTTTTCAACACCTGAAAGTATGTAAAAAAATGTAGATCTTCTTTTTTGTTTTACATTTGAAAAGTGTAAAAAAACTTTTATCTACATTTTTTTTTGTTATATTTGAAAATATGTAAAAAAAAAATAATCTACTTTTGTAGCACTATGAATTTGAACGTCGATCTGTTTGGACCGTTTAAGGGTTAATGGTATTGAAATTTTGTGATCTGTACAAACAGGTTTACATAAAGCCAAGAAGAATTTCTGTAAGTCAGAAGACATCACCAAGAAAAATGCAAAGATGCAGTTGATCATTCCATTTTGACAAGGAATAGCACATATAGTTTCATGTGCAGTTTGTGAATCGGCTGCAAATTATTCCAGCTGTGGCACTGTGGCTTTTATTTTTTCATTGCATAGTTATTGTGTATCATAACAGCACATACACATATATGATCTTAAGGCTGTAATTGAGTCGGTGAATAATAAAACAAGTGTAGAACCTGGAAGGCGGGTGACCCCATGGCTTGGCTGGAAAAGCTCGGGTTCGGTTCTCGGCGGGTGGAAACATTTTGAGGTGTTTCCTTACACCTTTTGTCCTTTTCACCTAGCAGCAAATAGATACCTGGGTGTTAGCCGACTGGTGTGGGTCACATCCTGGGGGACAAGATTGAGGACCCCAGTGGAAATAAGACAGACAGTCCTCGTTGATGCACTCACTTTCTTGGGTTATCCTAGGTTGCTAACCCTCTGGGGTTAAAAATCCAAATGAAATCTTATCTTTATGGTAAAACATATCTATGATAAATGTGACATAAAAGTATGTGATTACTGTATTATGTGCATCTTCCAAATTTGTGGGCTACCTAATTTACACATTTTGAATTTTCCAGTGCACAGTTAACCTGCACATAAGAGAAACTTATGACGATGTTTTGATCCAATTTGGACTAGTTAATGGTCTATGTCAGACCGAAATATTGTCATAAGTTTCTTTGCCTACGTGTGGGTTATTTGTGTATTATTCCAGTCACGGTATTGCCTTTCTACTCTTGATTATCCAATATTTTTGCTGAAAGGCCTCCCCACTAACAGCTTTGATTACTTTTTTTTGTTTTTTTCGAGCGGTGCTCTATTTTTCTGGCTTGGCACATGGTCACTAAATTAAAAACTAATTATTCACTTTTGATCAGTATGTACTAAAATAGTTTTTTCATGACTACATCTTTCTCTCTTTCTGAATATTTTTTCTTATGAATGCCAATATGAACCAGATTATTTACTGATTCTAAATTCTTGGGATTTCTAGAAAATTATCCCTAGTGAATTTGTGTCTGATTATATTTGAGACCTGTAGTTAAGGTAATGGATTGTAGGGGAGACTCCTTGAGGGTATGTTAAAGGTCTTGTGTTTGTAAATCCTCGACTTAAACACATTGGGGACCTCCTGAATTGTGTATAATATTCATAATACAGAAGTCTTCAATTTATGAGCACATTGGGGACTTTCTCTATTGTGTATAATAATAGTATATAATAACATTATATACAGTAATGATAAAATAATAATATACACAATACAGAAGATTCTCAACGTACAGTGGACCCCCGGTTAACGATATTTTTTCATTCCAGAAGTATGTTCAGGTGCCAGTACTGACCGAATTTGTTCCCATAAGGAATATTGTGAAGTAGATTAGTCCATTTCAGACCCCCAAACATACACGTACAAACGCACTTACATAAATACACTTACATAATTGGTCGCATTGGGAGGTGATCGTTAAGCGGGGGTCCACTTTATTTGTAAGTTGAGGACTTACTGTATGTTATTTACTTTCTCTGGTTCCACCCCTTTCCCAAGCACCCTATCTACTGCCCCTAACTCCTTCCCAAAGCCTCAGGCCCTACCACCTTCAGTTAGGTGAAATGCTGTGATTATACAGTACATTAATTTAAAAATATTTAAAAAATGCAATGAATAATTAAAGGTAAAAAAAAAGGGGAAGGGGGGCACTTTTAAACCATGTAACAACTAAGCATGGGTAATACAGTACCGTTACAAAAATTTTTTTTTTGAAGATAGCAAAGGGAATTGACAACTACACCACCAAGCAGAGATTAAATAAGAGAAATTATCAAGGCACCATGAGGAAAGTTAATTGTCAGTGAAGAAAATGGAAGAATAGATGAATTTATTTTCCTTTTTTTTTTTTTTTACTCTACATATATTGTAACCCTTGGTGCCTTAATGCAATGCTTTATATCATTAAAGTTTTTAACTGTGCCAGGTTACATGATTCATGAATCATGTGCATGGTCTGAAGGGCTACAACGCTGGGTTTTCCTGCCACGAAGAGCTTCAACTTCTCGTTACGATGAGAATGAGGATGAGCATCGCGGCACAGACCTTATGCTCAAGGCCACTGAAGGATTTGAAAAGATTGAGGTAATTATAAGGTTCTTTATATCTTTAAATACAGTAATTATAATCATGTAAATTATCAACATCCAAAATATTTGAAGGTGACTGCTTATTCTCTCTTTATTTCAGTGTAGTACAGTAAAAGAAAAATAAAGTGGTCCCTCGTTTTTCGTAAGCATCGGAAGTCGTAATTTTAAAAAAATCGCAATTTTTTTTCGCCAAAACATTGACTCACGAATCGTGGTTTGATTCGCAAACAGTCATTTGTCCCAGATGCGTACACACGCCTCGAGTGGCCCCACACTTCATTCCCAGCCAGTGTGCCATTGTTTATTAGTGAGTGAGGACGATCCTATGTGTTCATACAATACATTTCATAATATTCCATTCGTTTTAGTGCTTGCAACTGCTAAATAAGCCACCATGGTTCCAAAGAAAGCTTTTAGTGCCAGCCCTTTGGTAAAGAATATGAGAAACACAATATAATTCAATAAAAAGTTTGTAGAAAAATACAAAAGTGGTAGTGGTAGAGGGTGGTAGTGATTGTGATAGTGGTAGAAGGTGGTAGTGATGGTGGTAGAGGGTGGTAGCGATTGTGATAGTGGTAGAAGGTGGTAGTGATGGTGGTAGAGGGTGCCTTCTTCAGTGATTCTCCTAACTCCTCCAATATTGTTGGAGTTATATAGGGCTACAGAAAACACCGCCGCCTCAGCTGCAGCCTTCACCAACATTATGTACGGCTTGTGCTCACAGTGGCCCTTATACACCCAACAACAACAACACAACACCAATCGTGACATACATAATGACTTGTTTTATTCATTTTGGAGTATATTCCATGTTTCTATGTTATTAATATTGTTTATTATGTCATATTACTGTAGTTGAATTGTGATAGATAAATAAGCCGTAGAGTTGATATTAGTGTCATATTCTCCAACAATAAACTCGCCTCCCCTCCCTCTGCCATGCACCAGCAAGAGTCTTCAGTAAAGGTAAGTGTGATGTTAAATGTTCATTTATACATTTTATTAGTGCTTTTCATTTATTTGTCATTCTTTGCTGCATGTAAATCTATATTTAAGCTAGGACAGTGGGTAGGGAAGTGACCCCTGATAAGGACTTGGTACCTAGAGTCCTTATGGAGGGGGATTTCCCTTCCAAACAATAACCTCTCTTCCCTCTCCCCTCCTCCCTGTCTTCCATCCATCAACAGCCTTCAATAAAAGTAACTGTCATGTTGAATGTTCATTCTTTCGTGCATGTAAATCTATCTTTAAGGTAAAAAAAATATTTTTTGTTGATACTTCTGGGTGTCTGGAACGAATTAATTTGATTTACATTATTTCTTATGGGGAAAATGGTTTCTTAAATCATCAGTTTTGATAATAGTCACACTGGAACGGATTAATTACGAAAAACGAGGGACCACTGACACGTATAAACAGAATCTAGGTGAGTCATCATTTGTCTGTGAAATCTTATTTCTAATTATATCCATTGTTTCATGTTACTTTCTAAAATACTGAAAACATATTTGGAAAGTAATGCACCTTTGTAAAATCATGCAAAAAAGCTGGTATTTTCCTTCAGGTAAAGCATGTGGGAACAATTATAGACACGCACGGCTTCTCAAGTTTCAAGTTCATTCCTGGAACAAAGGAAAACTTGATAGTGGCTTTAAAATCTGAGGAGGTGAATGGAAAGGTTGCCTCTTATATAATGGCCTTCAATATGGCAGGAAAGGTGCTCTTACCAGAAACAAAAATTGGTGACTATAAATTTGAAGGAATTGAATTTGTATAATATTACAGAAGTTATCATGTATTATGGTTACTTAAAGATAATGCTTTGTTTACAGTAAGTGATGTGCATTCTATATGAGATATTTAAAGGGGGCAAAGGGGAGTGGGGGGTAATACACAGACACAACATCCATAAAGTTCACTGATTTAAAAATAAAAGCTAACTTTAGTATGTACATGACACCTGAAGTTAGAGATATCTCAAGAAATAAAATAATTATACATGTACTTGAAACGTGGCAACTTCTCCAGTTTGATGGGCCGTACTATCACCCTGGATGATATGCAATGTACCATATTAATGTCTTGCATATTATGCAGTCTAGCATATTAATGCCCAGGGCAGTATATGGCATGCCATATAAATTGGACTGTCTTGAACTGCATTAATATCATGTTTATTTTTCAGGAATAATTGCGCTGTCTTGTTTTTCCAAATTAAGATGGATAAAAAATCCTGCAGAAATGTGAAGATATTTATTTTAAAATTGTATCAAAGTTGATAAGTTAAAATTCTGCACTTAGCATGATACAGACCCATGATGCTTCTCTCTTCTCTCTGTTATGTATACATGTATTCAGCTGTATTAATTGCACTCAGTATTAAGTATGTCATACAAAAAATTTAAGGAAGCAAATTTTTATCAGACATGCATGATGCCAGCCCTAGAAAAATGGTGCATGTTCATGCTGTATTGTATTTTATGATTTATATTAACTCTCTTGGCCACGTTATGTGATCTCACGGTTGGCTCTCGATGTGTCATTTCACCATAAGAAAATTAAAGTACTGAATTTAATATTTTCCATAGCTTTTTTTTTTAAAAGAAGATACAATAGTTTCTATAATTAGCAAAAATTTTCATTGAAAACATCCTTAGACTGAAAACTATAATATGATAAAATACGATAATTTTTTTTTTTAACACGTCGGTCATTTACCACCAGGAGAGCATATTTAAAAACTAAGTGCTAAACCCATAAATCATACAGCTATATGGACCTAAGTAGCTCATATTACGACTGAAACGTGTTCCAAACACATATTGCTTCGTTACAAAATTATAGCTTTGTTATACTGTCATCCCCACAAATTCATGGGGTTCCTTATATGTGGAATTCAGTTTTCTTGTTTTATCTGTTGGGGAACACACAAATAGATTCAGTTATCTCATGGTGGCCATTATTTTCTGTCTTGGTGCATGACCCCCATCTTTAAAACTACCATAGGATTTCATACAGAATTTGCTCAGTGGTTTTCCCAAGCCCAAATCTTATAATTTTGGACATTGTTTCTTAATGTCAATAATTACCAGATTAAGGCAATATTTGAAGAGATATGGCCTTTAAAACTAAACAAAACCAAATCAGAATTTTTTTTTTAATGCACCAGCTGTCTCCCACAGAGATAGGGCGACTCTAAATAGAGGTAACACTTTCACCATCACTCATAACTATCTTGCAAGAAGTGTGCTGATGTCATAGTTCAGATGGCCCTCCAAGCTGCAACATCCTCACCCCCTCCTTTAGAGTGCAGGCACTCTACTTTGCAACTCCTGGACTCTAGTCTGGCTAACTGGTTCCCTGGATTCCTTCATAAATGTTCCTTGCTTACACTCCAGTGGCATGTCATGTCATAAAAGCAACTTGTCTCCTCTCACTCTAATCTAATGCTCACACAAGCCTGAATGTTCAAGCCCCTAGCACTCAAAGCCTCCTTTACTCCCTCCAGTCCTTCATAGGATAACCCCCATTTCCTCTCCCCCCCCCCCAGATTATATACTCTCTTAATTATCATCTGCCAAGTGCCAAACCCGCCAGGCTCTTGTGGATATGTGGGCTTGTGGGACACTGGCAGTAACAGCCTGGTTTATCATATAAATACCAGGCAAGTCTGGCCTGGGGCCAGGTGATGGGAGTAGGTGAACTTTTGAAATCCTTCAAAGGTATATCTAAGGTACTATTCTGTCCCATCAACAACCCTTCCCCAGCCCTCTGAATAATGCTTTTGGTAATACCATTCCATCTTCTAATATCCAAGCTCCAAATTCTTTGCAATAATATTCATACCACTCATTGATCTCAAACATGACATCTCCACTGCCTCCGGCCTCCTCCTCATTGCAGTGTTTAAAGCCCATGCCTCACACCTGAGATGTTTCAACCTTTTCCTCCCTTTATCTTGAGGCTCAACTCATCTTTCATAGATCCAGTTACTGACATATCCACTCACAAATACAGTGGAACCTCAAAAATCAAACTGCTCCCAACACAACCAATTATGTAAGTGTATTTTTGAGGGTCTGAAATGGACTAATCTAATTTACATTATTCCTGATGAGAATAAATTCATTCAGTAAAGGCACTCGAACAGCCTTCTGGACTGAAGAAAGTTCGATATTTGAGGTTCCACTGTATCTGAATGCATTCACTTCCTTCATATTTCTTCCATCTATTCTGATACCTCATCTTTCATTGCCTAGACTTTTGGTTACATCACCTTATTCTTTTTCTTTCTTCACAAAATTTATTATTCAAGAGTTAATTTTGTATTCGCTAGTTTTCAATTCACAATTCACAAGACCACTAGCAACATAACGCACAGCAAATTTGTGGGGATGACTGTACCTATTATGTCTTCCAATGCTTATTGCTCTTATAGCACTGTATGCATTCTTAACTGTATCTAAAATATCCCAAACTTTTATGTAATTAGGGTAATCTGGATGTCATTGTTTTCAACAAAATTCAAATATGGAAAGAAAAACATTTCTAATGAGCATAAATTAAATGTTGATTTTTATTTCATATATATTATATGAACAAGATATTATATAAATTATCAATGTTGTATACCCATATTATGTTACTTATGGTGTAAAACAAATATGGGTCTTCTGGATAGCATCTTGCCTTCCCTGTGGCCACCAGATGGGCAGAACTGGGTCCCTAATCTCTCTGAAATACACCGAGTTTAAAAAATTAGAGAATCGATTATTGTTTTGGGGGGAGGGGGGGCTGTTGCAAAAAATGAGTTTTACTTGCTTAAAAAGAAAAATATTCTCGTCACTTTCACCCAGGAAAAGCGTAAAATTCACAAATCTATATGTTATGAATAATTTTTTTTTAACATCAGCTGCTGCCCACCAAGGTAGTAATATTGCATAAGAATGTATCCTGAATATATCTGTACTGTAATCCTCTTTAAAATCATCATTTGTTACTGAAACACTGCTGCACCATCCTGTTTGATGGTAGTCTTCATATGGAAATGGCAAACTTGGAGGATATAAAGTTAAACTTGTAGATGCTGAATGTAAAGCATTAGACTCAGTGTATGGACAACCACTCAGCAAGATAGGTGTGCAAACTAAATGTAGCTCTTGCTCTGACCTTGTAAAATGTCATATAGATCAGGGTAACCACATTTTGTGGTGTATAGCACTTGTTTCGTGAGAAACTCGTAAATTTGCCAAATTTCAAAATTTTTAGTATAGTCAAAATCACTGTCATCTATCCTGTATCAATAAAAGAAAGTTTTTAGATTGTGATATTGAGGTTGTGATGTATCTTGATGTTTTATTATTATTTATTTCTATTTCTTAGTACAGACTTAAGCTACTTTAAGGATTTTTTTTACATTACAGGTAATGAGATTTTTTAAGTTCATCTAATGAATTTAAATCTATACCTTAAAAGTTGTATTGTGAAATGAAATGTACCAAGTTTCATAAAATATAATTTGAATTGAAAAGGAATATATTTCAGGATGTTACATAGCAGAGTTATTAACAAAAAGTACTGATAGTACTGAAGTACCGGTGTTCATCCTTATATAGCAGTGTGTGAGTACCTAGTCTCTTGTACTGTTAATAATTTAACAGGTATTCTCACTTTAACTGTTTTGTGTAAAAAATGGTTTGGATAAATTGTGAGATATTTTGCAGTATAATTTTGTAATTTTAAGGAGTTTATGAACCTTTAGAAGGCATTTACAAACCAGTATCCAGAAATATTACCATGGCCAGTTATGAATGGGCTAACTCAGGGCATTGTGTTGCTCCAAATAAGGGGTTAAATCTGTATTACTGGTATTTGATTTTATAGATATACAGTATTTGTCATTTACTGAGAAAATGTAAATTATATTTTGTACCGCTTTAAAGTTCTTCAGGATTTCAAATATTTTTGTATACATTTGAGTGTACTGCTGTTTGTGTTAGTGTGTGCTAATGTGCACTTCACGTAAATTCCAGTAAATCTTTAAAGAACTGTTGGCATACCTAATCAAGAAAACATTAAGTTTGAATTTTTGCACATTAAAGCCAGAAAATGTAATGAACTGAGAAAGTAGTGCACTGTTACCTTTTCAATGTTTGTGTGTTTGCATTTTTAATCAGTGATTTGTGTGTTGTTAATTTTAGGAATTGATGATACAGTATTTGTAATGAAAACAGCTCTATTTTTTTTATTAGAAAGAAGACCCTTATCAATTGTTATATGTTATTTATGAAGTTTTGGAGGTATTATTTATATACTGTACATCATATTAATTTTAAGAGTGAGATTGTCTAGAGAATATAGAGCACTGATGGCTAAGCTATAATTGGGACAGTATAAGTCTCTCATTTTAAAAGGAAACTCAAGTTATTTCTGTGAAATTCTGTTGGTAGCCTATCTTCAGAGGATTATTGACAATGATTGCTCAGTAACATGCACATAGGTGGCTTATTTATAATAATCTTTTATGTATTCTATTTAAGAGAATTGAATTTTGAAATCTTTATCGCACATCTTTCCTGTACAACATTCACTACTCACCTGTGTTTATCTCACGAGTTCTCTTGGTATTTTACGGTCTACTTTTTTTTAATCAACCCCTCTGATGGCATTATTGATTTAGAGATGTAGTAATTATGAACCCCTCTGATGATACAATTCTTTTTCTTTCAACACACCGGCCGTATCCCACCAAGGCAGGGCGGCCCAAAAAGAAAAACGAAAGTTTCTCTTAAATTTAGTAATATGATACAATTCTTGCTAGAAAATAATGATACAGTATTTTTACATGCTGACTAGTATGAAAATTTTCATTGTAGTTGGCAGAAAAGGAAATAGCAGAAATAGAAAAAAAAAAAATAAAGAGTTAAACATTAGAAAATTTTTGGGGGGCAGCTACCTCCCTTGGTAAGGGGGGGTTATAGTCCTTGTAGATGACATGAGCTACACTGGCTGGTGTTTTCTTGCCATTCCTATGACATTTGTTACATCTTTGTTTACCTTTACATTCTGTTTATAGTACTTTCCCTTTAATGCAGATGCTGATGTCTTAGATTGATTTATTGTAACAACTTTGACTTTTTTCTTGGGCTCTAAATCTAACCTTTACACTTTCTTACCCTCGCTTCCTTTCCTACCCTGCTGCGCTATTTAGCGCTTCTTTTTTATTATAATAATAATAATTTACACTTTCTAATGACATCACTTAAGGAGAGGGGGCATTAATGCTGGTGAAAGGATCTTGATTCAGGGAATTAGAGCCAGCCTCCTCTTCCTTGGATCAAACTTGATTACATCCATTCCCTGATCACCCTTGAGACCCTCATTGTTCCTTTCTCCTGATGTCCTTCCTTCAACACTTCTACTATCCATTAGCTGACGAATTTCAACAGTGTATGTAACCCATCCTGTGTGATGGAATATGACAGGTAACTATACCTAGGTTTTGTTCCCACTATGTAACTTGCAGAATAGAATAGCAGCACACTGTTGATGTATCCCATTTTGATAAATAGAAAAATTTTACCTCTTCTGTGCAGTGTTTTATGACCCTTATGAACATCATTTTCTTTGAATACATAATTTCTGAACTTGACACAGATTTGCTACAACTGTAACTCTTCTTCATTCCTCCTTTCAGCTGTCCTTCCCTCAATGCCTCTACTTTTTACCATTTCAAAGGGGATGCCTTGATGCTTGTAAAGGGGCTCTTGATCCAAGAAATTAAAGCTACCCTCTACTTCATTGGATTAACCCTGTTTGCTGTGTATTCAGTCTTCATGAAAGGTTTTGCAATAATTTGAGACTTATTTTACACTATTTTTGCCTTGTGCACAACACACATTCTCTCTACACAGCTAAACTTGATTGGCAGACTTAGTGAAGGTTAAAAATATAAACAATTATTTCTTAAATGTTGATTGTTAATATATACAAAATCACTATTAACCAAAACAATAAATTGTATTGCGTAATATTTATTGGAGTAATTACTGCTACTTTCACAGAAGAAAATAATTTGAAAACATTCATCGTCTTAAACACTGTATTTTGCTCAAAGTAAAATGATTAACAACAAACTTTTTGTGTAATACTGTAGTATATAGTTATACTGTGCAAATTTAGGATGCAAAAAAAATGTAATTTTTTAACTTTTGTATGAAAATAAAAATATATATATATGTATACACAGTACATATAGTATTCACTCTACCCCCCCCCCCCCCAGTAAAAAGAAAATTGTCACTGAGGTAAACAATGAATGCATGTACATATGTAACGTGGCTTTCTCTCGACATTTACAACCATATACGGAGTGTGTGTTTCTTATCTGTGCAGCAGGCAGGTTGAGCAGCATCTAGATACCTAATTTCTGGGAGTAGACTTGTATGGCAAGATTGTGGCAATACACCAGAAATGCTACGGCAACTATAAGATTATCCATATCATGTATGGATCAAATAAATACTCAGTATATATACATTACATTTTTACAAAATCACACATTTGCCCTGCCTTGATTATACGTTTTCTGTACTGTGACAACTTTACATATTTAAAATACAAAATTAATAAATAACCTAGTCAAGAAGACTAAAAAATAACTTTAAAAATTCATTTGGTTTATCAGCATGTACCCAGTGTCCTGCTCTTTCTATATAGTGGAAGGAGGAGTGAGGAAAGAGCTCTTGGATGGCCTCTTCATCTTCTCTCCTAGAGGGGGGGGAAAAAAAATGTGATCACATAGAATTATACAAAAACTAGCACAAAAAATTTAATTTGCTTGGTATAAACTGCATAACACTGGCATCAACAAAGCAATTATAGTTAACTATGAAGCTAGGAATACAGTATCTTAAACTCAACACTGTCTATACAATTATTATAATCTAGACTAAGTGCTAAACCTACCAGGATCATACAGTGCTTGTCTATATACAAATAAATGTAGTATGGTCCCTATGGGTTTAATACTTCTTCATAAATATGTAGTAAACCCTCATTATGTATAAGTTACATTCCTGAAAACTATCATGATGCAAGAAATGAACAAGAGAAAATAAGGTTATGTTCCACTCCACCTCATTCTACTGTACAGTGGAACCCTTAATCCGTTCCAGAAGGTTGATCTAAATCCAAAACAGATGAAAACCGAAGCAATATTTCCCATAAGAAATACTGTAAATACAATTAATCCATTCCAGACACCCAAAAATATTAACAAAAAATAAATTTTTTAAAGAATAACTATAGTTTTACATACAGAAAACAATGAGAAAGAAATATAAATGACTAATGAAATGGATAAATGAACATTTAACATCACACTTACCTTCACTGACGACTTGTTGGGGTATGGATGGCAAGGAGGAGAGAGGGAGGAGGAGCAGATTATTATTATTATAATCAAAAAGAAGCGTAACTTGTGGTAGTGCACAGGGAGGAGAGAGGGAGGAGGAGCAGAGGTTATTGTTTGGAAGGGAAATCCCCTTCTATCAAAGCCCTATCTGGGGTTACTTCCCTTGTCTTTTACTGGCACTGGGCCCCTGTTGCATTAAAAATCTGTCCAGAGAGCTGTTTCTGGCATCTCTTAAGATTTGCCTAAAATGGGACAAGGTATTTTCACTGAACATGTTACAGATACGGCCTGTATCAGCTTGATCAGGGTGATATTTTTCCACAAAAGTTTGCACCTCATTCCACTTTGCACAAATGTTCTTAATCACTGAAGAAGACACTTTCTCCCCTCTCTCTTCCTCCTCTGAAGCAATTTCCTCAGCTGTGGTCTGTTGCTGTCCCAGATGAAGATCTTGCAGCTCTTCAGTGGTTAGCTCTTCCCTATGATCCTCCACCAACTCTTCCACATCCTGGCCACTCACATCCAACCCCATGGACTTTCCCAAAGACACAGTACATTCCACAACAGGCATAGGGTCGACAGGGTCAGCCTTAGACCCTTCAAAATCTTTGTCAAGGACACATTCTGGCTACAATTTTCTCCAAACACTCAATAAACAAGCACAAAAAACAATGGATTATTACAAAATGTTTTGGATGAATGCTCACTCAACCAGTGGCAGAACCAGACTGAGACATATACGCATGAGTGGCGGCATCCCGGGTGGGTGGACGTGTCTGATGCGGTCGATTTCTGGGGTGAGGTACGAAATCTGGAGCAAAATTTTGCTGAAAAAAGTGGTCGAAATCTGAATCGTATGAAACCCAGGGTTCCATTGTATAACTAAGAGCTGAATGATCCTCTCTGGTTGAAATGGAAGTAGGGAAGGTCGAGTTAAGCAGCTTTGGTTCTAGTGTTGATGAGGATGCTGTACTGTCAGTAGGTGATGGTTGTATTGGAGAACTAAGTATTTTGAATGCATCTAGGTTTCATGCATTTTTTATTTAACCCTTAAACTGTCCAAATGTAGATCTACATTTTTTCAACATTTGAAAGTATGTAAAAAACATAACCTTTTTTTTTGTTTTTACATTTGAAAATGTGTAAAAAAACTTTGATCTACTTTTTTTTTTTGTTATATTTGAAAATATGTAAAAAAACATAGATCTACTTTTGGAGCACTACACATGTGAACGTAGATCTGTTTGGACAGTTTAAGGGTTAAGCACAAACTGGGTCCCCTTTGTTTTTTCCTCAGTACACACATTCAGTAATATTTCTGGCTTATTTTCCTTCAACAGAGGTTTCTTGATAATGATGAGGAGCTCTTGATCCAAGTTGAACCTAACTTGACCTTCCTTGAACTGAGCCTAATAGCCTCCCATTTCCCCGGGTACTATATGACCTCTATGGATGTAGTGCTTCCCTCAAAGTTAATAATAAATCTATTATGTAGCTGTGGTCAACTCTGACATACTTTTGAATAGGTGACAATCTTTACTATTTTTCTCATCATTTATGGTATGAATGGTTGAACAATTCACATAAAATTTATGGGTAAATTCCATTATATGTGCACTACCTCTAGGCATATATGTACATCATACTACCATTTTTTTCAACAAAGCTCAAGATTCACTCTTATTTTTCTTAGCATCTTCAACATCACCAGTGTTCATTTTTGGGTGTTATTTAATAACCCTTTGAGAGTCGGAGCCCCTGATCTGAAACTTGCTCTCAGGGTCGGGAAATTTTCAAAAAACAAAAATTATTTTTTTCTTATGAAATGATAATCTTTTTTTGAAGGTAATTAAACTAAAAGTATGAAATTTGATGGAAAACTTTTGGAATTATACTCTCGCAAAGCTAGTGGTCTTGCCGATATTTGTGCATAGGCGATTTCGCCCACTTTGAGCCGTTTTCAGCGAATTTCATTGTTCCAGTTGACCAAACTCATAGCTATTTTGCTAGTATTCCTTCCAATCTATCAACTGAGTATAAGAAACCACCCATTTACCTAATTCAACTACCTAATAAAGTGATCAGAACTGGTAATTTAGCCAATCTCACACAAAATAAAAAAATTGTCAATTTCAAAATAGGGTCCAGAATAAACAATGTAGACATTCCTGGCACTAAAACATTTCCTCTGTTCTTTAGTCACATTCTCAGGCCTCCTATATTATGCTTGCTTTTCATTTTGAGTTTTTATTCACAGCCACCTAAAGTCAGTACCTGATCAGCCGGGCTGTGGTTCGTACATTGGTTTCTGTGTAGCCAACAGTAACAACTTTGTTGATCAGGTCCTGATCCACCATGAGGCCTGGTCACAGACCAGGCCGCAGGGGCATTGACCCCCAAAACCCTCTCCAAGTACATATACACACAAAAAATAAAAGATTTACTGTTATGCAGACTACTACATTGTATTAATAATGTCGGTGCATTTGTGGATACATATTAGACCGACCAGTTGATGGTGCACACTTACCACACAGACCCATTCTCTCATATCTAGGCCCAAATTTACTGCTCACACCTTATCTGAGTAAGCTGAGCTCATGGCGTAGAACTATGGGACCGACCCTGGCTTGAGAGCTCTACTACTATGGGACTGACCCTCAAAGGGTTAAAATCAAGACACCAGATAGTAGTAAAAAATGTTCAACATAGCTTGATAAACAGTGAGGGAGGCTCAAGATACTTCCAGAATGCAACTCTGGATGGCATGGACTGTCAGTAACAGGGATGGAGCTGTGTACTAGTGTTTAGTACCTAAATTTTGCACTTAATGCTACAGCATGTCATTCCAATATTTTGTGGATTAGTTGATTCTCTAGCATTTTATGATACATATCACTTTCATTGTGCACTATAAAAAATTTTTGGTCTTTTTCAATTGCCAAGGAAAGTGCCAACCTCTTAAGATATTTCAGATGACTCTATCATCAGTGCTATACAAAGAACATGGTGCCAATGAGGTACTCTTGATCCAATGAATAGAATTTGCCATGCCCTTCCTTAGATCAAATCTGAATGCCTCCAATTTCCCCAGATGATGTATGGCCCCTATGGGTTTAATGCTTCTCATGAATGTGATGCAGTAATAATAATATTAAAAGAATGAAAGCTATGTGCTTAACCAAAATTATACAAGTAGTACAGTGGTACTTCGAGTTACGAACTTAATTTGTTCCAGAAGGCTGTTCGAGTGCCGATACCGAACAAATTTGTTCTCATAAGAAATAATGTAAAGTAGATTAGTCAGTTTCAGACCCCCAAACATACACTTACAAAAGAACTTACAAAAATACACTTACATAACTGTTTGAGTTGGGAGCTGTTCAAAACTCGAGGTACCACTGTATACAGTATGTTCATATTAATAAAATCAAGGAACAAATGCAATAAAATACAAATTCTTAAACGTTGTTAGAAAGAAGATTTTCGGCTTCATTATCCAATAGTGGAAAACAATCATTTGGGTTACATAAAAATGTTTACTGTTGTCTAAAGTACACCACTCACTATCAAAATTTAGGTTTAAATTAAGTATTAATATTTAAAGAAAAAGAGCATTAATATATATTACAACACATGACAAGGTAGAATTAGTGAGTGGAACTGTGTGTGTACAAATACAACAATTCAATTATTATTGTATGTATTATATTCTCCTGTATACATTACTAAAAAAGAGAAGAAGAAAAACTTTATAAATTCAAGGATTATAGGGAGTAAAATAAGGGTTGGATGTGAAAAGTGGGTCATAGTAAGCATGTATGCACCTGGAGAAGAGAGGCATGTAGAGGAGAGAGAGATTTGGGGAGATGTTAAGTGAATGTACAGGAACTTTTGAACCAAGTGAGAGAGTAATTGTGGTACGGGACCTAAAAAATTTAGAATTAATCCAAAAAAAATGTAGGATTAATGCAAAAATTTCAAGTTTGACTTAGCACCCACACCACCACAATTTAAAAAATTCTGAAGATAAATTAAAAAAAAAAAAAAGCAGCTTTGCATAAATAAAAAATGGAATTTCTCAAATTTCAAAAGATCACCAAAACTAGGACTACTGTGAATGCCAAAATATTCCAAAATTCTGTTTATGAAAAATACTGCATGTCTAATGTGCACTCGCAGCTAACGGTTTAACTTGGATTCAAATGCTGTATTATCTTTAGGACCTGCTAAAATACAGGTACCATCCAACTTACGACCGAGCTTGGTTCTGACCAACTGGTCGTAAGTCAAAATGGACGTAAGTCGAACCTTACTACTGAATATCAACATCACATTTTTGTAATGACACTATTTTGTTGTTTTATTTTGGTATTTCATTTTTTACATTACTTTTTATGCTGTTAGTACTGTATTTTATACTGTAAAGTTTAGGATAAACACTGTGTACAACACAAACAGTTGTTTATTTCCCAGAAATTTGGCATACAAAACACGGCCGTAAGTCGAGTGGTCGTATGTCGAGCAGGTCGTAAGTCGGATGGTAGGTGTACACAGGCAAGCCCCACTTTACAGTGTTTCGCTTTACAGCATTTTGGTATTTTAATGTGTGTACTGGATATGCATTTTTTAGGCCTAGCTATATTGCTCATCTTAATACAGTGGTGCCTCAGGATATGAATTTATTTCGTTTGAGAAGGCTGTTCGAGTGCCAATACCGAACAAATTTGTTCCCATAAGGAATAATGTAAGACCCTCAAAAATACACTTGCAAAAGCACTTGCATAAATAGTTACATAAATAACAAAAAAAGGGACAATACCGTGACTAGAACGATACACAAATAACCAGCACATAGAAGAGAGGAGCTTACGATGACGTTTCGGTCCGACTTGGACCCTTTAATATTTGACTGGCTCCTCCTTACTTCCCCACTACTACTTCCCTCCTCCTCCTCCTCCTGCTGCCGCCGCCACCACCACTACTACTACTACCACTACTACTACTACCACCACCACTACTACTACCACTATTTCTACTACCACTACTACTACTACCACCACTACTACTACTACTACCACTACCACTACCACCACCACCATTTCCTGCCGACATATACCCGTCCTGCTCTACTTCTCGTTAGTGTGACTGTAAATGGTCCAAGTTGGACCAAAATGTCGTCGTAAGCTCCTCTCTTCTATGTGCGGGTTATTTGTGTATACAATTACATAATTGTTCAAGTTTTGAGCTGTTTGTATCCTGAGGTACCACTGTATATGACAGTGTAAACATGTTATTAGGCTTCTATATGCATTTGAAAGTGAAAAAAGGCTATGATTCACTTTATAGTGATTTTTGTTTTACAGCAGTAGCCCAGAACCTAACATGCTGTATAAGTGGGTCCCTCCTGTATCCCAATAATAGTATAACTTTCATGCTTAGTCACTTACCTCAGATAATCTGATAATTCACCTCCAATGAAGGCTGTTTCTCCCTCGTACCTTTCATATTCATCTAATATTGGGAAGGTAGATATGAATGGATTAAAATTATTTGCAATAGCTTCAATATTAAGCCGCCATTTGTATCCTTCTTCTGTATTATTAAGATTGGTGAGTAAAAACTGACGGATGCTTGGGTCCTGAAAAGTAGAAAGAACTTTTAAAAACAGAATAGATGGAGGGGTGGATCCATGTTATGAGAGGTTTTGTATAGCAAGACCTCTCGTAAAATGGGGAAGGGGGGTTTTATATTTCTGAAGACAAGAATATGTGGGAAAAATAGATTTACATTCCAGACACTTCCAAATTTGTCAGTCAAATTTCTGATATTGTACTAGGTCAAAATTACTACTACTACTTCATATCCTGCTAGCCTTTACTAGAAGCATTTAAAGCATGGCAAGGGTTAACATGGGCCTACTGGGCAGAGTTAGATGTAGAAATGTTAATCCGCTGATGCACATTCGGTGCATGTAAATGTAAAAAATAAAGCCAAATTTCCTTACCAAATTGTACTAGGCTTAATCATGAACATATTCAACTACTGTACAAATGCAGTTACGGTACATACGTAGGTCACTGTTAACCCGTAAACGGTCCAAACGTATATATACGTTCTTACCGCTAGTGCCCCAAACGTATATAAACATTTTATTTTTCCTGCCTTCAAATATGGCATGATTGGCCTGAGATGCCTTGTCAGCACAGAATGGGTCATAACACTCAGTGTGCACTGTATTAAAAAAATCTGGGACCACTTAGTACCTTGTGGGAGCACTAGTTCAAATGAGCGCCAGCTAGAGGAAACAGCTTGGCAAACACCTGGGATTCACTGATTTCACGTAGTATTAACTCCCATTTTAAGAGGAAAGTGATGTTGACTCCGAGTTTAGTGCCTTTGAGGTGGATGTGGCCATAAGTGGTCGAGGAAATATAAAAAAAACCTCGATAATAACCCATGTGCAACATTTGTGCAACACCCTTTCAGATTGTCTTATAACCTATGCCCTAAGTAAAGAGAAACAATTCTGGAACGTAATTCAGGTCTCCCTAAACATTCGCGTTTTCAACTTTCACGGGCTTCACACATTCGCGAATTCCCGACCGCCAAATTCCCAACTGCCAAATTCCCAGGCGCCAAAAAATATTTAAGTTTCCCACGACCCGCGAGTTCCTACTACCCTCCCTCCGACCTCAACAGCCCTTCCACCACTCAGTGTGTTGAGTGTTGTGTTTGTTCATTATCTGCTATTGAACTACAGTACGTGTATAAATAATGTCAACCCATTCATGACTGAATATTGGACAGGTACTGGGCAGTGACATCATATGTTTACTCTTGAACACAGCAAAGAATCAAACATTTTTGCTACTGCTAATAATAATAATAATAATAATAATAATACGATAGAATTGAAGGAAATTGTACAAAAGTACGAGGGTTGAAGCAGTGGTGGAAGAAGTGGTTGACGCACTGTCAGTCAGTGTGCCTTTGTTTATGCTGGAGTGAGCATTAGTCTCCACACTCTTCCAAACATTTCACAATAATTCATTGTGTTTGGTGCTTGTAGATTGAGTGCAACTGGAGTGGTAGAGGCAGTGGTTGAGGCAGTGGTTGAGGCAGCGGTAGAGGCAGCGGTTGAGGCAGTGGTTGAGGCAGCGGTTGAGGCAGTGGTATTTAATAAGATATATGTTATTATTAATAATAATACATGCTATTATTAATTAGTACATGTATTATTATTATTATTAATAACATGTTATTAAAAACCACTCCATCAACCGCTGCCTCAACCACTGCCTCAACCACTGCCTCAACCACTGCCTCAACCACTGCCTCTACCAATGCCTCTACCACTGCCTCTACCACTCTAGTTGCACTCAATCTACAAGCACCAAACACAATGAACTATTGTGAAATGCTTGGAAGAGTGTGGAAACTAATGCTCACTCCAGCATAAACAAAGCCACACTGACGATGCATCAACCACTTCTTCCACCACTGCTTCAACCCTCGTATTTTTGTACTATGTATTTCCATCTTCAATTCTATCAAATTAATAATAATAATAATAATACGATAGAATTGAAGAAGGAAATTGTACAAAAATACGAGGGTTGAAGCAGTGGTGGAGGAAGTGGTTGATGCATCGTCAGTCAGTGTGCCTTTGTTTATGCTGGAGTGAGCATAAGTCTCCATGCTCTTCCAAACATTTCACAATAATTTATTGTGTTTGGTGCTTGTAGATTGAGTGCGACTGCCACATAATTAACCATGGGCCCAAAGAAACTTGCTAGTGCCAGCCCTTTGGTAAAGAAATTGAGAAACACGATAGAATTGAAGAACAAAATTGTACCAAAATACGAGCAGTGTGCCGCAGTGGTTGAGGCAGTGGTTGAGGCACTGGTAGAGGCTGTGGTTGAGGCAGTGGTATTTAATAACATACATGTTATTAAACCATAACATATATGTATTTAGCACAACATTTTACGACATTTTCATGTATATTATGATTGTTCATGGTTTTACAAGTTAAGGAAGCAGTACTGTATTATATTTCCCTACAATATATTGGCGCACCAAACATTCGTGATTTTTCAACATTCGCGAGGTTCTTGATCCCCTAACCCTTGTGAATGTTGAGGGAGACCTGTACTTGTTTAGCAGGCTGGCTGATTGGCTCTGTTCATTTGTCTGTGGCTATGTCTATTTCTGTCAGTCTCTCTGTCTCTGTCTATCTGTCTCTGCCTATCTGTCTGTCTATCTGTCTCTGCCTATCTGTCTGCCTATCTGTCTCTATCTGTCTCTGTCTATCTCTGTCTCACAGGTACACATAAATACAAGTATACATAGTGCAAATTACCTAGGATAACCCAAAAAATCCAAACAAAGTGCTATACTCTGCTTGAAGATATGAGTAAACGTGATGATGCAGTCTTGTGGCTCTCTCTGAGACAGAGAGCTAGACAGATAGGCATAGACATATAGACAGGGAGCTTGACAGACAGACAAATAGACAGACATATTTGTGTACCAGCAAAAACAAAGGGAGGGTGATGCTCATCAAATGTCACCTCTAATCTTATCTTATCAAGTCTTATCACCGCACCCTAGCATATGCTTATCAAATGTCAGCTCTTATCTAATGTTATCTCATCCTATCACGTCACTGTCAGGGGTGGACTGAGGCTTGTTTTTCATGCTTCTAGGGAACTTATTATTACATATTATTATTATTATTATTATTATTATTATTATTATTATTATTATTATATACAGTGGTCCCTCGCTTTTCGTAGTTCTCGGCAATCGTAAATTTCGCCAATCATAGGGGTATTTTCGTATAAACATGGACTCGCTTTTCATAAGTTGACTCGCGAGTCGTAGTTCGTCCGGGATGCGTACCCATGGCGTGAGCCGTGGTGGCAGCCAGTCTGGCATTGTTTACCAGTGAGCGAAGGTCCCCTCACGTGCTCCAGTGAAATATTTCATAATATTCCATTTATTTTAGTGCTTGCAAGTACTAAATAAGCTACCATGGCTCCAAAGAAAGCTCCTAGTGCCAAGCCTGTGGCAAAGAAGGTGAGAAATACGATTGAATTTAAGAAAATCATCATTGAACAATATGAAAGTGGTACAAGTGTGGCCGAACTGGCCAGGATGTATAAGAAACCCTACACAACCTTATGTTCCATAGTGGCCAAGAAAAAGGAAATCAAGGATGCTGTTGTTGCAAAGGGGTAACTATGCTGACAAAAATGAGATCACCAGTACTCGAAGAGGTTGAGAAATTATTATTGGTGTGGATAAATGAGAAACAATTAGCAGGAGACACTCTTATGGCTTCGATTATTTGTGAAAAGGCTAGGCAGTTGCATGACGATTTGGTAAAGAAATTGCCTGCAACTAGTGGTGATGTGAGTGAATTTAAGGCCAGCAAAGGCTGGTTTGAGAGATTTAAGAACCGTACTGGCATACACAGTGTGGTAAGGCATGGTGAGGCTGCCAATTCGGACCACAAGGTAGCTGAAAAATATGTGCATGAATTCCAGGAGTACATAGAGGCTGAAGGACTGAAACCTGAACAAGTGTTCAATTGTGACGAAACAGGCCTCTTTTGGAAGAAAATGCCAAAGAGGACCTTCATTACACAAGAGGAAAAGGCAATGCCAGGACACAAGCCTATGAAAGACAGGCTGACGCTAATGTTCTGTGCTAATGCTAGTGGGGATTTCAAAGTGAAGCCATTACTAGTGTACCATTCTGAAAATCCCAGAGTGTTCAGGAAAAACAATGTTATGAAGAGCAAATTGTGTGTTTTGGAAATCTAATAGTAAGGCATGAGTCATGAGGGAAATTTTCGTCGAGTGGTTCAATGAAGTGTTTGGCCCTAGTGTGAAGGAGTATCTCCTGGAAAAGAAATTGGATCTCAAGTGCCTGCTAGTAATGGACAATGCACCTGCTCATCCTCCAAACTTGGATGACCTAATTTTCGAGGAGTTTGGGTTCATCACAGTAAAGTTCTTGCCCCAGAATACCACTCCTCTCCTCCAGCCCATGGACCAGCAGGTCATTGCAAACTTTAAAAAACTCTACACAAATGCAATATTTCACAGGTGCTTGACTGTGACCACAGACACTCACTTGACCCTAAGGGAATTTTGGAGAGAACACTTCAGCATCCACCATTGCATAACCCTTATAGGTATGGCTTGGGAGGGAGTGACTACCAGGACTTTGAACTCTGCCTGGAGAAAATTGTGGCCAGATTGTGTCGACAAGAGGGATTTTGAAGGGTTTGGGACTGACCCTGATGAGCTTACGTCTGTTATGAACTCTTTTGTGGCATTGGGGAGTTCCATGGGGTTGGATGTGAGTTTGGAGGATGTGGAAGAATTGGTGGAAGACCACAACGAAGAGCTCACCACTGAGGAGCTGCAAGAGCTTCAGCAGGAAGAGCAACACATTGCAGCTCAGAATCTTGCTGCAGAGGAGGAGGAAGAGAGATGGAAGAAGGTGCCTTCTTCAGAAATTAGAGATTTTTTTACTATGTGGGGTAAGATGGAAAGCTTTATGGAGAAACATCACCCTAACAAGGTTGTTGCAAGCCATGTTGGCAACATGTACAGTGACAAAGTC